GGGGGGGGGGGGGGGTAAAAGCACGGAGTGTTGCTGGAGGACGTATTGGATAACAGTGAATAAGAGCTTTTCGATTTTTCCACCGCATCATCTTCCATTTTCTTGTGGATAAGTCGGCAAATACAAGGGAGAATTTCATTGTGGAAGGCAGAGGCTATTGATTAATATTTATCTACGTTCTCTCATTATATCTGGGATTGTGGAATTCACTGTGACATTTTTATATCACAGTCATATATCACAGTCATATTTATATTTATATTAACGAACGTTTGCGATGTGAAATTCATTTTCTTACAAATTAGCATTGTAATTTTGTTAAAATAATTTTCAAATGGGTTGAAGATATTTTTTTCAACAGACGAAGTAAAACGCAGAAATATTTTTCTTTGGCCCCATATATATAAATAATACATAATTAATTATATGTATAATTTATTTATATAAAAAAATTATATATATTCATTTACGTATTTATTTATTCTTTTTTTACATTCGAAAACAAGTTCCATTATTTTTATTTTTACTTCATCATCTCTAAACTTGTGCATTCACTCTCAATACCTACAATTTTTTTCTACCCAGCAAAATATTAAATAGTTGAATAAAATGACTGAAGCAATTGACCAGTCCACTAAATTATCGTCATTAAAATAATGAAACCGTTAATACCGAAATAATTTGTCAAAGGGATATCGGAAAATATCGCAAAAAAAATGATCGACGAGAAAATTTTAACGACCTCTTCATTTTTATAACTCCACCGTGAATTGCCCCCCCCCCCAGGGTATTTACGACCTTCCTCATCAAATTTTCACGACTTCACTCGGATCAAATTCATTAGATTGAATCTAATAAACCACCACCTTTAATTCCAGTGTTCAGCGACGTGCGGCAGTGGCGTAAGAACCCGAACGATTGAGTGCAGAGATGGAAACGGTAGATTGTCCAACGATTGCGATCCAGGGGAGCGTCCACGTGAGGAGCAGGAGTGCAAGAACACTGTTGATTGTTCTGCCTGTGAGTTTTCGAGTTTACTGCAGTTTGCAAAATTCTCGGTGATATGTTAATGTCTGTGTTTTGTGAGCTTGCAGACTCGGGGGAAATGGCACAGGAGCCCTATCCTGCCCCACCGTTGCCAGAGAAGTTAATTGATCAACCAGTGCCCTCGGAATCTACGTAAGAGCTTGAGAATAATATAGTACTGGAGGGGTCTTACGAAATTAATTAACTTCAATGAGATTTGAAGTTAAAATTGATAGAACAATGACAACGAAACTTTAAAAAATGAAAAACAATTCTTGGGGTTTTGTAAATATTGTCTGAAGCTTCAAAATCGCGAATACATGTTGAATATTAAACATTTTAATATTGACAAGCATTTGAATGAATAAAACAATTGGGAATGGCTCTTTGTCTTCATATGGTACAGTTATTTTTGGTAATAAATTGGCAATATACTCCCGAATTGTGTTATTTGTTTAGTTATCGTGGTACAACCGTTTTTTGGAAAAAATTCTACAATTAAAAAATTATTGAATATAATAATTCAATAATTATTCATTATTTAACATGATGAATAATAAATAATAATCATTATTTAATATTTTAATGATAATAATTGTTTATTATTCGTTTGTTTCATTAAATGAATGCAATTTTAATTAATTTCGACGGATGGGGCTCAACAATATCTACATTCGAGGAAGCGAAATAATTCAATTCCATTGATTCGGCTCACAATGGGTCAATATAAAACGAAAAAATGCGAAACTTAAATTTGAAAGATTACAACTTTCATTCGAAAGCAAAAATGTAAAAAAATACTGGGATTTTCTGTTTTTAATTGACGATTTTTAATTTAAATGAAGACATTGAATTTAAATCTGAAGGATTGAATGACGCTGACGATATCGACATCGATTTTCGTTTTTAGATTCATTGCCGACGAATGGTCGCCGTGTTCAGCCACCTGTGGCGAGGGTATTCGTCATCGTCAGGTTCACTGCAAGATTTTCCTCGATTTCAGTCGAACAATAGCCAAATTACCGGACAACCAGTGTGCTGGCCCAAAACCCCCCGAAACCGAGAGATGCATGCTAGGTACCTGCCCACCACTGGACAACAGTCTCTCTTACAGAATTGATACTGTCGGAGACAGTGGATACGAAGAATCCAATTTAATGGACTCCTACAGGTCCTCCGGGGCGAGTGGAAGTGACTACGAGAGTACAGTTAAAGTTGCACCTGGCAACTCGGGACAGACTACGTACTCGTGGAAGGAAGGGGGGTACAGTGCCTGCACTGCATCTTGTTTGGGAGGTAAATCAGAGGAAATTGTGGTAATTGCAAGCCTAACAAATTCTGGAAGATGAATCGGTGGACATTCCATCGAAATGCTTGAGTTCAACTTTAACAGATTAATTTCTGGGGAATATCTTCAATTTTGTAGCTGTTTTCACAGATCTCAACAACAAAATATCCTCACACTGTCGGAAATTTCTTGAATTATCATCTTGAACTTTCAAGAAAATTCGGATTTTTGTATTTAACAATCATTAATTTTTCAATGAAAGCGTAAATTTCCAAACATATCGTAAAAATTGAACATCACATACAATTCAATTTTCCATAGATAAAGAAAAGTTTTTGCCTGAATTTTTAAAATTTTCAATTTTTTTCAGTGCCGTGTGCACCTGAAAATCGAGAACTACTTGAATATTCAAGAGATTAACTGCTTCATCAATGAAGAAATAAACAGAAATTTCATGCAACTCTGTCAAATAATTATTTTGTCTAGTAATGATTTTCCAACACTACTATTAAAAATTTCCATCTGAATTTTCCATGCCAAAGACCAGAAATGTTAATCGTGTGCAAGTTCCACTGAAATTTCCCGAAATCTTAGCCATTTTGTCCCCGAATCCGATTCACAGCCACTCTCCTGAGCTTTCCTATAACAACTTCCATGAAATTTCAAAAAATCTCCAACAGCGAGTGCCCGAGAAATCCGCTCGCCCGAATTTCAATGAAATAAAGATTTTCTGTCAATCCAGGAGTCCAGGATTTGATAATAAACTGCGTACGCGACGACACCGGAAAGACAGTGATTCCCCTGCTGTGCACAAAGGAAACAAAGCCAGAGTCTCGTATCCGCACATGCAACGATCACGCTTGCACCCCCAGGTAAATCATCCACAAATCACTCCTCATTAATATTTTATTCAGCCCATCCATACGAATCGCGTTTGTTTGTCGTCATTTTGGCTCATTTCTGGTTTGAATATATTTCGGACTAAGGCAAATCAATTTGGGTCAAGCTGGAGCTTGTGCTATACGTTATCCCTCCTCTGTTCTTGATTTTCTAGGTGGAACTACAGTGACTTCTCACCGTGCAGCGTTCCCTGCGGTATTGGTATACAAACGCGTTACGTCACTTGCATACATGAGGTGGCACGGGGTGCTGGGAATACGATAGTCGTACCAGGCCATATGTGTCAGGCACCCTCACCAGTAGACAGGCAGCATTGTAACGTGTGGGACTGCCCACCAGAATGGAAACCCCGGGATTGGGAAAAGGTAGACTGTTAAAAATTTTTTACTGAAACTCTGATACACCTCCGGAATATTTTTATTACACTAGCCGCAGGAAGGTGATATTGGCCATTTTATAACGCCCTTTTTCCTGTCCGATTCGATATTACTTATTGTCAATCAATTGTTTAAAATTCAAAGTTCTATGGAAAAATCAAGAAAACGATAAATTTCAATTGAATTATTCCCTGAAAATTCACAGAACGTCGGGACATTTTTGTCTCTCTGCTGCTGAAAGATGTGGTATTTCCACTGAAATCTGAAATTTCCTCACGTTTTTCCTCCCAAATCAAACACCAATACCACTCCCTCGAAAAATAACCCCTCAACAGTCCCTGAAATTTCACCGATTTTCTCCAACAGTATAATTAAATTGTTAAACAGTGTTCCAAAAGTTGCGGTGGTGGAGTAAAAAGAAGGGAAGTGGTATGTGTCCAAGTAATGGCACAGGGACACGAGAGAACACTACCGGACCGTGAGTGCCATGGGAATAAACCAGCAACTGAAAAGCCTTGTAACACCCGAGCATGCCACGAAATCGGATTGAGTGTACAGCCAGTTATATTCAGTCAAAATTCAACATTTACCCAGCGAACACCTGAGGAAAAAGTTGATCTGAAAATTGGTGGAACAGCAACTGTATTTCAAGGGATACCCATGGTCAAGATTCGTTGTCCTGTTAAGAAATTCAACAAGTGGGTCCTTGCACACTACTCTAGGGAAAAATAAACGATAAGTAAACTTGAGAATAATATTTGTCGTATCTGTTACCTCTCAGACAGCAAATTTCCTGGACGAAGGATCGCGCGGAGATTCGAAAATCAAGGAAGTACAAGATTAGTAAGAAGGGAGCTTTAAAAATTGTGGACATTGGGGTGACTGACGGGGGAGTTTACACATGCAGAGGTAATTATCTATTAGTCGAAGCCCAATGAGACGAATCGAGCGAATTGTATCGAACAACAAAAACTGCGATGATAAATGACGAAAGAATCATCAATTATCAATGAGAACAGTCACTCAGTAATAAAGAAAACAACAATTCCACTATTTCAGCTGGAGGTACGAGGGCAGAGCTTCGATTAATCGTGAGACATCGCACCAGAGAACAAATGAGCAGCGAGGAAATTCTGCGATTCGGTAATGCCGTTCATCATCGTCCCGACATTAATTTGGATCAATCCTCCAATTCTGGAGAAAATCTACAAATTGACCACGCCGGTATGAACTCGATACTGAACAATGGAGAAAGATAAATAGATCGAGTCCTAGCACAACGGGAATTGTGATTAGTTGTTTTTTGTTACAGCCCCAGCATTTCAGGGGGCATTTGCCTACGGGAATGACGATCAGAGTCATGAATTCAAGCCAGAAATTCCCAGTGCTGCTAAACCCACTAAGAAATCTCGTGCTCGTAATCGTCGACCGAAAACCAGTCCACCACCACCTGACGGTGGCTCGCCTGGTGAATTTTCAGTCACTTCAATTCATCAGGTATGACAACACATGATTTCTGCATTTTAGTTCTCGCTGACAATTACTTTCCCTCAATTTCATCGATAAAGTGTACAACTCGAATATTTCAATGACGAAATAAAACAACAAGTGGAATTTCAGTGAACGGAATTCAAAGCTTGGATCAATAATCCCTGGTGGAATGATTACCATTTGTTAATCCATCATAACAACGGAAATTACGAGTACTGAAATCGCGATAGGGCAGTGATGAATGGGAATTGTCCCCATAAATAATTCTGAAATCAGTGATTGCTTTGATTGGCCGATGGGAAATTTCATTTACATGCATGAATAAATCTGAGGGCTGTCTAATATCCTAGTACTAATGAATTATTCTCTCTTCCCCCCCCCCCTCCACCGCCACTTTTTCTGTCTACTAACAATTTTTCAATTGGTGATGGGAAATTTTTTTCATGGGACAGCCTGGCTACCACGAGTCCGTGGAATCTACCGCTTCTTCCGGAGCTAACAGCCTTCTGCCAACGTTCAGTCATCTAATATCTACGTTGAAGGTGATAATACATGTGTCAAACCCTCCACTCAATCCTTTTGTCATTGAAAATTACAAATTTCATGGAAAAATTAATGGAAACTGTGAATATCAGTTCACTATGCCCCTTTCCCGTCGGATTCGCTATTTCGTTTTTCAATTAATTCTTTACAATCATTCTTGTTGGAAAAGGCGATACGACCGGTGAGAATCGCATGTCCAAATTGTCATATTACAGGCGCAACAAATGTTGAAATAAAAAAATTTTTTTTCACCCGGAGCCAGAGGGTCAGATTTTCGATTTTTGCAGGGGGAAAGTCGACTTTCGCCAAAATCGACTTTTTTAGCCGGGTGAGCGTTGATTCCAACTATTTACGCGACGGGCTATTCAGAACTCTCAAAAGTAGGTAGAAAAAGTGAAAATTGAAAAAGGGTTTTTTTTCAGATTTTCAAAGGGTCAAATTTTCGGTTTTGCCAGGGGGCAAGTCGACTTTCGCCAAAATATAATTTTTTAGCCGGGTGAACGTTGATTCCAACTATTTAAGCGACGGGCTATTCAGAACTCTCAAACGTATATGGAAAAAGTGAAAACTGAAAAAGTTTTTTTTTTCAGATTTTCAAAAGGTCAAATTTTCGGTTTTGCCAAGGGGAAAGTCGACTTTCGCCAAAATCGAATTTTTTAGCCGGGTGAACGTTGATTCCAATTATTTACGCGACGGACTATTCAGAACTCTCAAAAGTATCTGGAAAAAGTGAAAACTGAAAGTTTTTTTTTCACCCCGAGCCAAAGTATCAAAGTCTCTCTCCTTTCATTTCTCCTCACCAAAACAGATAATCATAAAATTGAATTGGTCCGCCCGAAGCAACCTCTAACCTTCATCAATATTCCTCCAGTCCTACTGGCCCTTCCAAGGAAACAGCGGATCATCCCGCAACCACCGAACAGTACCGTCGCCCGACAAAAATACCCCCGAAAAGAACCACCACTTACGTTACGACAGCGTGGAAGCCGATTTCAACTTGTTCAACGACAACACAGTCCTCCCCGACGAGCCCTTCGGCCCGGACGAGGAGCGAATATTTATCGACGACGATCCCTCTGACATGAACACCGCAATCCTATCCCTCGACCAAATGGAGGAAGCCAAAAAGTCCACAGAATCCCTGATCAAGGTTCACAGCCGGCGCTCGAAGACGGAAGATACCAAGGACTACCTCGAGGAGTCCCTGAGGCAGGCGAAGAGACACAAACACGGAGACATCGACAATTACCTCAGGAACGAGCGCGGCACAAGTCACTCGCACGAGCATTCAAGAACCCCAGGAGCAAAGCATCACGAGAGGACGAAACACGCTCCAGTGGACGCTGGCTCCAACGAGCATACAAATGGAGGAACAGAGATGACGGTTCCGGTGAATCCCACGAAGAACCCTGAGGACTTCACGACGCCAAAGAGAGAAGAAGAAGCCCCGAGGACTGACTCCATCCTAGTGTCTCTGGTCCCGACACCTCCCGCCGAAGGAATCAAGAAGTCCTTCGAGACGTCTACACCACCTCAGGACGAGGACGACAGAGCCTTCGACTCTGGCAGTGAGATGGAGCAGACAGAGGACTCCTATGAGACAGAACTCACCCGGCAAAAGTTCAACAAGAGCGATACAATCAGATTGTTCTCCAACAGCTCCAACGGCAGTGAAATGGCTTCGAGCAATGAAAACGCGAGGGAAATGGACTCCGAGGGCGACGACAGGGGAGCTCTCGAGGTCTTGAGTAATGAGGACGGCACAAACAGGTCCATCGACATCAGAACCGATTTGATGATGGAAATTGGAAGGCACTTGAGGAACAAGAGTCAGGTGGAGCACAGGGGAAAGATTCTCGAGGGAAAGGGAGGCGTCGAGATTCTGGGATTTGACAGTGAGGACGAGCAGGGGATCAACGTCTTCAGCAAGGGTAACACAAATTCCAAAATACCCGATGACAAGGTCAATGTTAACGTCAATTGTTAAGATGATGGATAATTAATTGCAGTTTACTTCTCAGGAACTGGTGAGGACTTGATCTTCGAATGGGTCACCACCGAGTGGTCCAAGTGCTCTCAGACTTGTGGAGGCGGTGGCTTTCAAGTGAGTTAACACGGTATTTTTTATCGGGTAATCACTGAAGAGGGAGTTCACTGCTCTTTATCCTGGGATTTCTTTCAGATGAGGGGCGCTCAGTGCACAGTTCGTTCCAACAAGTTGGTTAATTCCACGAGGGTCCCGTCTAGGAGTGTTATAGGGGCTTCGTTGTGCGAAGATGCTGGATTTCCGGTGCCACAGAAGGTCAGGGCTTGTGGATCGGGGAGGTGTCCACAGTGGCACGCGGGGGAGTGGACACCCTGTGAATCCTCACGGTGTTTCAATTGGAAAACTGGTGATTTTATTTGTCGTGTTATCAATTATTTTGCAATCATTTGCTTTCGTGGACAAATTAAACTCATTAATTATCAATCATCTCATTATTTTTTATCCATTTTCAATAAAAAATGAAAGCAATAAATGAAATTTACTGCAATTGAATGCAATCTCAATTTTTTTGTCTCCGCAGCAATGCAAAGAAGAGACGTAACATGTCGCTTGGTTGAAGACACGAACGGCACAACGAACGTAACTATTCTCGAATCAAGCAGATGTGATGATGCAATAAGGCCACCGCAGAGACAAGAGTGTTATAACGACATTTGCAAAGGGGTCTGGAGAGTTGGCGAGTGGTCTGAGGTGAAATTTTCAATGAATGACATCTCCCCGAATTCTCTCATCTCTAAAATTAATTGAATTTTCACACTTTCAGTGCACCGCATCGTGCGAAGAAGACGGTATAAAATATAGAATTCTCCAGTGTGTCTGGTTTGGGACGAAAAAACCGGCGGGCAATGCCTGCAGGGACATACCAAATCGTCCGGCTGTGATGAAAATTTGTCACGGTAACCCGTGTCCAAAAACTCCAGGTGAAAATTAGCGGAAAAACACTTAATCTGATTTTTTTCAAAATTCATCAGAGTTTAGAGTCATCAAAGCATTTTTATTTTGATGTTTAGGTGACTGTGAGGACCACTCACCACTCTGTAACAGGGTGAAAATGATGAACATGTGTCAAGTGCCACTGTATCAAAAACAGTGTTGCAAGTCGTGCCACTAGACACTCAAAAAACCAATTAGCGACTAAAACACCTTTCGTATCTCCATCAACAAAAGTAAAAAAAGGAAAAAAAAAAACAATTAAAAGTTAGATTGTTCAGAGCAGATAGACCAAAGTTCTGAACGAGTGTAGTACATGGGAAAGAACACTACGAGAGGCCAGAATGAGTGGTGAATTGTCACCAATAGACAGATAAAATTATTTATTTTGCGCACACTTCGAATCTTTACCCCCTTAAAATAAAGGGAGTAACTGTACCTCGAATTTTATGGAGCCACGAAAATCCTTCTTCCTTGCATTCCATGCGAAGAATGATGAATAATTACCTGAGAAATGATTGAGATGTTGTTAAAGTTCAATGATAAATTGCAAAAGATTTAACCTGTCCTCGAAGGATTATTGATGTAAAATTTTAATACTCGAATAATTTATTGAGTTGTAAAAATTGATTTTTCGACAAAACGTACTGATGAATATTAACGGCATTAACTGGTGAATTAATATAATTATTATCATACCAACTAGGTCAAAATTTTTTTAACAAAATCTACAATCCATTTTTTACCCACTCATTGGATAATTTAGCCCTATTGAATGAATATTTTTGTTGAATTCACGTGTAGATCTTTTTTAAGACTGAAAGAGACATTGTAAGTATTCCTTTCTGCATGAAAAGAGAAAAATCCCCCCTCATTTACCTACATTCCATGAATGGAAATAATGAAAAGAAAAACGTGAAAACTTCTCAAGTTGATTTAACTTATTGTCCTGTTATCGTTGAATTTTACGGTGAATTAATTGATCGAGATTAAATTATATAAATAGATATTAAATAAATGACACTGAGTAAATTATTAAACGCCTACACACCACCCTCAAGGATCGTACATAAACCGATTGAATGTAAGCGATAAATAAGTAATGTAATATAATATTTTATTAAGATAACCAGTGAATAAAGAGGAATAATAAATTATTCGTTGAATATTTTATCATTCATCGACGTGGCTCGAGGAGTACGTGCCTCTCTTTCATAAAAAAAAAAAAGAAAACATCAATCAGAGCTCCTTTTATCATTTCAACAATTTAAAAAGCTGACATTCTACGAGAAAATAAATTTCATGTAACTGCTAATTCCAGCACTGACGCATTAGATAATAATAATCGAAAGATCTCGACGAATTTGCCATTCTCACTTAACCAATAAGCGCCAAAATTATATAGTAATTAAAAAATATAGATAGACTAAAAGGATGAAAAATGAAAACCCTAATGTCGCATATTATAACAATTATTTTATTTATTTTTTATTGATATTAAAGTATAAAGGAGTGTTGATTGAAATTTCATTTAACTTTACTTATGAATTTCGTACGTCAACGCCGAAAGTATAATAACCTAATTACCTAATTATAAATTAGATCAACGATTTTTGTATATAACTAACACAACACAATGTAAAATGGTTACTGCAATATTATCAAATGAAGAGTATTATTATTGTTCATTGAATCTGTATGTAAATATTGTAACTGCCTACGTATAACTATATGGAAAATAAAATGGGGAGAAGGTATATCACTGCATAATTACTGAGTAAACTTTTTTCTAATAATTAACTGGACTGAGGCCCCCAAATTTTTAAGTCCAATATTTTTCTGGAATGAAGTATATTTAATATTTAACGTTATCAAAATATTGAATAGCAGCGCTTATTTTATTTCACTAGTTAAAATAGTATTTTTCTCACAATATATATCATTGCACGATGACTAATCTCGTTTATAATTGACGAATTGACAAAGTTGATTAATATTTCATAGAAAACGAAACGGAACAATTTTTCAACGAATTTAAAGCCCCCAAATTTAACCCATTCCTAAACCCTTCGCCTGAATAATCATATAACACAAGATGATTATTAAAATTCTCCTTCTACATAATTGACTTCACTATTTCGATCTAGAACGAACTATACGCTTAATATTTAACGTTATCTTTTTATTTCACCATTTAAAATTCACCATTTAAAATAGTATTTTTCTCCCTGCATGATGATTAATCTCGTTTATAATTGACGAATTGCCAGAGCTCAGTAATACTTCATAAAAAACCAATGAGTACATTATTTTTCAACGCATCTAAAGCCCCCAAATTTTCAAAACCTCCTCATCATCCATGGGCCACAATTCCCTCAATATTTTCCATCCATTCGCAGCTGTTACTACAACGTAATCATTCTGAGGATTATTCAAATGAGAGTAAGCCCCCATAACAAGACTCTGACACAATCTAGCGCAGACTCCAGTCTTCAAAATCTTCCTCTCCAACTCGGATATTTTTTTCACCCTCAAAAATCCTTCTACCACGTGTCTCCCCCTCCCTATATCCTTAACCTGAATAATCATGTAACACAGGGCTATTATCAGTTCGAAAATAAGACACGAGTACTGAGTGTCCCCAAAATCAATAACACCAGCGATCTTCTGATGATCAAAATCAACAAGCAAATTCTGCTCGTTGATATCTCCATGTATCATTCCCATCTCAAAGTGCTCCATATTTTCCAGTACATCTTCCTCAAAACGACTGATGATTTTTTCCACTAAAACTCTGTCCCCTTCATTTTTAACGGCGTATGTGTAGTCACGTAATTTTGGGGTTGCAACAAGCATCCATATGAAGTCTCGGCTTTTGTACGAGGGATGAGAAAATCCCCTCAATTTTTCATCCAAATCCGCCGAGAAACGCCCAACGTCTCGGAGGAGATCGTCGGAGGGTTTTACATTGTACAAAATTTCTCCTCGACGATAGACTAAAAGACGAATCTAAAAAATTGGAGAAAAACTCTCAACAACCTGAAGAAAACTACTTCGTCTCTTCATTCGTCGAAGAAAATTAAAGCTGTCGTCCAGACATTTTGCAGAAAAAATACTCCTCTTTAAATATTTAATTCTACTAAACAGATTGTGGAAATTAATTGAATTTTGGAAAACGTGATTCTATTTTTTTTTTATTTTAATTTTTACCTCCGAATGGAAAATTTGTAATTGTTCAAATTTATGAATCGATGGAATTGAATCAATTCTTTTCCACAAATGTAGGCATTAGTGAGTTCCAGCCATTGACATTGATTAAAATTTAATTCATTCAATATTTTTTTTATTTCTGAATTTTTCAAAAAATCAGTTGTCCCAGGATAACTAAAAAAATGTTCTGAATTGATTGAATGATGGCTTAAAAAATTCGTTGGGATGCCCTTTCGACTGAGTTCGAGGATGAAGGTGACAGCAATAATCGTTGTATCGATTAATATAAAAAATTTCAAAATTTTTGTATTTTTGAAAATCGAAATTCCGGAGATATCTTGAGATCTCATACGTCAAATGAATTCAATTAAAGCTTAAAACGTTAGTTTCAATGCCAACACTTCTGAAATTGAACGATAATTACGATAGATTTGCCGATTTTATTTTTCCATAATTTTTCAAATTTCGAATTTTCCATCAAATATTAATGCAAATCGACAGCAACGGCTTAAACGTGGCTTATGTATACGACAGCCCTGTGAAATGCAGAGCCGATGAAAGGGCCAATTTCAGTAGCTAGAAACCCGTTGAACAAAAATATAAACATCGAAACGTAAATAATCTATTTAGCTCCTTAAGTAAATGCCCACGTAGTTAGGACGAGGTCAGCCCGTGAAGCAACAAAAAGACAATCAGCCATACGAAAGAAAGGGATAATAAGAATAACGATAACGATAACATTCAGCCAAGTTGAAAATCTGGGACAATTGTTTAAAAATAAATAAATAAATCTCATTCAATTTACCACAATGAAATAAGCAATGAATCATATGCAACAGAAGAAAATGATGTGCAAAAAACTATACTATATGAAAACAAGAGCAATTTTCCGCTCGTTTTTTCTCCATGTCTCTCGTATTTTTTTCCAACAAAAAGTGCAAGATATTTATAATTCAACGGAAAAAGTGCTTGAATATTTTAAATTAAAATGAATGAAAATAATTCATTGACACCTACGACATTCTTATTCTCCTCGCCCTCCCCAAGATCCTCCAGAGAGTAATAACTTCCTTTCAAATTCATCACCGGAATGGGACACGAAATTGAACGCTGATGGAGGTATAACATCATTGCGTTCTGTCCCTCAACCAGAGAAACGTTCTTCGAGTCCAGGGAGTTCATTATCTTCAATACATATCCATCTGTCTCGATCGATTTAACGTGAGGATTATCAAAATCTTCGACACATTTGATTCGTAAATTTTTATCGTCATATCCATTGAGTTCTCTGATGCTCATCACCTTGAACCCATACAATGTATTAACGAGTTCGATGGCAGTTTTGTCGTCTACATTCGGACGATTTCGGACTTCAACAGTGGTACGATCCATTTCGATATCTTCAATCTCCCAAATAACAGTTTCTATCGATCGAATTGATTTTCAGTAGAAAAATGCATCGATTGTCAATAGAAAATTGCTGTTTTATCACAGATATCCAGTAATTGACTGAACTATTACCAAACGCACAGTGAGAATGTTCTATTTTTATTTGAAAATAAAATCCCACTGGTCCCTCATACGAGGGAGAGATAACAGACTGGTCAACTGATTGTCTCGAACGAGACTAAATAGAAGTTTACTCATTGGACAGTGTGTACAATTCCCCACTCTTCACTCTACTTCAATAACGGAGATAGCACGATAAGAGAGGATAAATCTGCAATCAAACATGAGATTTTATCAGTGTCTCCCTGAAAATTTCCCTCCCCCAATTATCATACACTGAGAGAAAAACGACAAAGTTCCCAAACAAGTTTTACTTGTGCCGACAAAAAAGTTTTTTTGAAAATTATCGAAAAAGGATTTTTTTGTGCTAAACATGCAGAGAGTGCGTCGGAATGAAAAATTTTTGTCGCAAAAATAGATTTAGTAGTTAAAAAAAAATTGCATTCTCTGTACACGCAAGAAATGTCATTTCTAGCACTACTCTTTCGTTATTCGATACTCCCACACGTATTTTGCCCCGAAAAATCTTTGTTTTATGCGAAACAAGGGATAGTAGTTTTTCGTTTCGGCTGTCTAATAATCACAAACAAATGAACCCTTGAATGAAACAATAATAATGATATGATAGCAATTTTGTAACTTAGAGATGAAATATTTGTTGATAAATTTTCCTCTATACGAGATATTTTCATCCTGAAAAGGGCACCGTCTGGTGTGAATAATCCACCTCTTGAGCCAAATATTTCGCTGCTGTCGAAAGCAGAACAATTATTCATGCTTGAGGCTTTCAAATTCGAACCAAACAAATGCTTTTTTGTCAATTTTCAACTAGCGATTTTGTTGGTCCAAACAAGACTTGTTTGACAACGTGTTTGTTTTTCGCAGCGTAGGACTCACGAATACCGCGATATCGTTCGAAAAATTGTGAACATACCGACCGAGGAAACTATCAGAGTCCTGATTTACTGACTGCGCATAACCAATACCCCTCGATGATAAAAAAATCAAAAATCCCTTCTTAATCTACTGCTGCCACGACTGCCCTCAAACCTCCAATTTTCAATCTTATAATAATTAATAAATCCTACGAATAATTGAACGAGCGAGAAAAAAATATCATCCAGATGATGAAAAATAATCAGACGACTTGTTTACGACTTTAGAAAACCATTACCCGACAAAGTGCAAATCTAACGATCGAGGCCGTATGAAACAGTTTAAAAAATTCATTCAATCACTATAAAATAATTGTGCCTTATACAGAGAGTCGTTGACTCAACTTTCTCCCCCCGTTTATTCCACCGCACCGCAGCTCATTTATTTTTTCCCCATTTCTCTTTCTCCATTGGTACCAGCGAATCTTCCACTCTCCAGTTACGAAGAGAATAAAGTAAAAAAAAAATAAATAAATAAAACCTCCAACAAAGTAACAAACGGTAAAGACATGAAACACTACTCGTCTATCCGGTTGAGATTGAGTTTAGACGAGGACAAAAATATGAAAAGAAGAGCCTTAGAGCGAAACTTTCCCGTGAATGCTTGCGTTATCCTCACGTACACGAAATACAATTCAACGATGTATACTGTATATATTCGCTTGGCACATCACTGTGTTCTACAGTTAGGTGAGGTCAGGTCAAAATCCACGGCAGGTTGAAATTTACGAAGCATCCTGTTTGACCACTTCCTACCCCACACCTTCGGCTGATTTTTTAGATTCAAAAGAAAATGCCTCTTTTATTCTCGACTATTCACAGCTCAAGGAGAAAACAATAGTATTTTTTCCACGCAGACAAACAATCTGATGGGAAATAAACAAAGATATTGCAGAACATTTGACAGCGAGTGCAGTTGATTGTTTGCAAAAATCGAGACAAATGACGTTGAAAAATATTAGGAGAGGATGGGGTAAAATGGACACTTTGAACTTTTTTTAAATTACTCATAACTTAGAAACAAGTTTATCAATTGAGCTCAGTTTAAGCTCATTACAAAGGGAAAGAAATGTTCTTTGCATTGAAAAAAAAAAACTATTGAATTTCATCAATATTTCAAGCTGTTATTAACATTTGAAAAAAAGTCAAAAGTGTCCATTTTACCCCAACCTCCCCTATTTCTATTCACGATTTTGAAAGAGTGAACAATACTATTTTATTGTCAAATGCAAACTGAAATATTGATAAGAACCGGATTATAAATGAAAATATCACAAATAAATAATCGCCTGCATTCGATTGAAAATTGGTAAAAATACGGGATGAAATAGTCATAAAAACAAAAATTTCAACTTGACAAATGTCAAGTCATATTGATTAAAAATTAAAAAACCCCAATTATTTCTATTTCTCATCAAATTTATGACATTTTTGGTGACGTAAATCTTGTGTGATCGTCATATTCCCTCTAAAAAGCGCTAAAAATGTCACATTTTTCGAAATTTCACAATGGGTTCTCAATTTTATGACATAGAATAGGATTTTTAGGCCATAAGTTCTATGTGACTGCCATATTCCATCTAAATATGAGTGACAATGTCAAACAACTCAAATTCCGACCAAAAATCTCTCACACAACGAAAAAAAAAACCGCCGTTCATTTTCACATCTCTGATAAATACTCTAAATACATAACGTTTCGCTAAATAAAAACATGATCAAGCAAAAAAAAAAATACACCAACGCGATTTGTGTTCACGGTCAGAGAGACTAAAATTCCGGAGAATTGAGGGAATAAATATTTCAGAAATATACGATAAGAGAAACCACCTGTATGTGCCTTTTGCAGTGGCCCAGTTCTCCTTATTTTAATAATTCCCCCGAAATAGAAGCGACGACGCGGTATTTCCTCCCAATAAATGACCCGGATAATTAAATAAAGTGAAATAAAATGTTCCGCTTCATGTGAAAATTGAAATTGATTAACAATTTTCGGAAAATTTGCTGTTTCAAAGGACTCGAGGGCGAACAAAAAAAATAAAACGCGATGATGAATTGATAATGAACCAAGAATTACACGAGAATTTTCCCGGTGTACATCTATATTTAGTTGAATACCATTAAGCAAAATGCATATAGGTTAGGTCGGTCGAAATAGCCACCGGCGTTCTCTCAATCGCGACATGCCTCGTGTGAACCTCGGGCTCTCACAGATGAGATAAGACCGGTGTGATATTTCATATCTCCAGTCTAATCCCATTTCGTTAATTTCTCCGTAAAAGCGAAGAATTAGAAATTAAAACCAAAAATACATTCCACTCATTTCGACAAAATTCATTCGCAAATACAATGTCAATCTTCATTATTTTCTCATCGCAAGCATCTGATATCGGCTAATCGATTTCCGATGCGAGGGCATGTGTAATGCTTCTTTTTGCAACCATACGCAAACAATTAAAAATTATTGGTGGTAGACGAATGGAGGTTCTAATTGGGTGATTTGCAAAATTTAACGAGATCACTGTAAAAACTGGGGTCTGCAAGACGTTTTAATTTAGGACGTTGAACGCAAAAATGTGCCACGAAAACATGTTGGAAAATATTTTAAAAATCTAAAAAAAAAAAAAATTAGAAACTTCACTTTTGGAGGAAGATTGCCAAAATAGTTGAAAAATTACAATTTTTGAAAATTACGTGCATTTTCTATAAATAATTTATAAACAACGAATGATTGAAAAAATAGTAGTTCTGTGGAAAATATAATTTTAATGACGCTGAATATTCATGATCTAATTTAATTAACAAATTTGAAAAAAATACTTGGATACCCCTAAAGTCTTGATACGAGACCCTAAAAATTACTCAAATTTCCGGGCACAAACGTCTTGAAAAAGGGCACAAGTGTCTGAATTTCTAGTGATGATGAAAAAAAATTTGATTTGAATTGACAATTTTGGAAGAATTAAATTCGCATAAATTATTCTCCCGCATCTTCCGCACTTGTGTAAACCTACGCACCCCAAGTATTCCAGCCTTATCATTTTTATCATGTTCTATTCGACACTAGAACTCAATTTTATCTGATTCCCTCAATCTGATTGCGATTCCGACAAATTTCTATGTACAAACATGAGGAATACGTAATGACCATTAATAACGCTGAGGGATTTCCCATTGAAAAAAAAAAAAAATTCTCTTTGAACACCCGCGGTGGGTCGTCCCTAAAAACGGTACATCTGCCCCGTGTCTTCACCTGCGCGCTCAACCGGCAGCTGTTCCCCCTTCGAAATAAACCCGTACTCATCGGCCTTACGTTGACTGGTGGCGCGTGCCCCATCATACGAGGCATAAAAAGGGAGAAAAAACATCACCAAGGGAGAAAAAAATAAATGATGCTCTCGGTAAAAATCCGAAACCCCAGGCGTTGCAGTCGAGAATTTGAATTTCAATTTCCAGAAATTTACGATAAATCTGATGTATGAAATTACGTGAAGCAAATTGGGTATTTTTCCACAGTTAAAAATATGTTTTCAGTTAGTTATTACTCGCCACATGTTAAATAGAGCGGTGTCGATCCATAATCAATGGTACGCATGCTCAGAGGCATGCGCATAACGTTCAAGAGAGCCACCCTCGTGTGAAATTCTTTATGAAAAAAAAAAACTGTGACAATACCTCTATGCTGTCCTATCATTGTAATGAATTATTCATTATCGTCAGTCATTAAATATTGACAAGTAGTGAGGACAATAATTATTTTTGAAAAATCTAGATCACGAGGGCTTCCATTTGTTTTTCTTATACCGATATTTTTCTTCATTTGAGTTTATCAATTCAACAGAATTATTCATAATCCCTCATTCATTTTTTAACGCAATTTTTATTTCACGTGTAATTTTTATTTTCGGTAATATTCATTATTCATTCGCTGTGGGGAATGGAATGATTCTGGTTTTCATACGACTGATTTTGCGAAAAGTAATGTCAAATTTTTTAAAAAGATTGAAGTAAAAAAATCGATGTACATAAACATAAAAAAGTTGATTTTCCGAGTACCGGAAGTATGTTGGAAATTCTCGACAATTTTTTTTTTCAAACTCATTTGGAATGCAATAGTTCCACTTTCCCCATGGCAGATAGCAAAATTTTTGTCATAAACTTTTTATACTGCGAATTGAGAGCTACAAAAAGGTAATTACAAAAATTTTGATATCTCCCTCAAATTTGATATCTCCCTCAAATTACCCGATATTCTTCGAAAATTCAGCTAAGAGCCATGTCGAGTCAAATAATTTTCCCCCTTCGCACCAGATTGATTATCACCGAAAAAAATCAACTATCTGCCCCTAAAATTCAAAATTCCTCTCACCAAAATCCGAATACAATAAGCATTACATAAACAAAATATCGCGAGAGCTAAATCCATCCGTTTTATCAAAGGCACGTGCCAATCTCGAGCACTAAAAATATTTCCGCAATACCCCCGTCCGATAATATTCCATGAATCCCCCAAAATTATTCCCACCGACCCGTCATTCATCGTCAACAACCACCCACAATAATTCCAAATAAAAAATATCCTAGCTGAACCATCTGCTCCATCCCCACGCCATCCCAACACTAAAAACCCCGATAACCAATCGTAGAACAAAAAAATAATTTCCAAGAACGAAATACAATTCTCGGTAAATCATTCTGAGGGATAGATCCCACCGGAAGTGTAGACCACCGCGAAACTTCTAGAACTTTCCAGAGCCCCGAGCCCCCCCCCCCCCCCCCCCCCCCCCCCCCCCCCNCCGCCGCTCCGCGCAGCGTACAGCGCATCAGGCGTACCGAATGAAAAACGTGGGAACGAGCTTCAAAAAATTTCCAGAAAACGTCTATCTCCTCCATGCATATCAATAGAAAAAAAAAAGAAAAAAAATCCCATTTTTCGAGCAAGAGCCCCTCGCTAGGAGGTGGAGCAAGGGGGGCGTGGGGTCGAGAGACTCCTAGTGCCGTTCCTGCACCAACCGGCACTACAAACTCTCTCGATTCACATCCGGAACCCCCCCCCTTCCCCCGCACATACACACACACACACGCAAACAAAAACCCCCGCAAAACTCGTTAAATAATCGTTGAAATTCCGCAAAAAAAATCTTTAAAAAATCATCACTCACCATTTGACGTGATTAACCCCCTGAGATGATGTTCACCACCTAAATAAACAAATAAAACAATGAATATGACACGACTGCGCGTGTGCGTGTGGCTAAACCGTTTGCCCCCTCCCCCAGCCCGCAAAAGTGAGAAAAAAAATGGGAAAAATCATGAGAAACGAGTGAGAGAGATGAATGAAAAAGCCAGCGACATCTGCAAACGAGCGGGAAAGGCTGGTGTTTGAAGGCCGCCAGTGCCGCCGGCCGGGTAGTGGGACGGGGAGTGTGACCAACTCTGCCATTTGCGCGTCGGTAGGCAGCCCGTAGTGTTACCTCTGATTCTCCCTCGTGCACACGTACGCCGTTAACACAAGGATTTTTTTTCATTTTCCACCACTCAAGTGTTTCCACGGTTTAATAAAACAAACCCGAGTGCTTCCGCAGTTAATATAATCCAATTAAATACAAAATCAACACTTCACAATGGCTGATGTCGAGACAAAGTAAGTAATGAGTGAAATATTAACCCCCCCCTCCCTGGCCCCCGAAAATCATTGAAATCGTGAGAGAAGCCGTGTTGAGCCGTTACTCGTGGCAAGAGCACGCTACCGAAGTAACCCCGATAATTCCCCTCAAATGATCAATCATCAGCTCTCGTTAATTCGCTAAAAATCCCCTCAACACGTGTCCGCAAAAACACCCCCCCCCCCCCCCCCCCCCCCCAAAAAAAAAAAAAACAACAAATGTGGCAAATTGGGCCTGTTAGTTATTTCCCAAATTGACCCCCCCCCC